AATCACTTGTATGTACGTCCTTGCATTTCTTTATCATCAGGCGCCAAATAAAAAATTGTGATCGGTTTGTTTTAACAAAGGAATAACTACAAATTGTTTTAACTCAAACCTTATTTGATCAAATCACAAGATTTTTTAAAGGAAAGGTTAACCTTTCCTTTAAAAAATCGTTTTGTTATTATACCATCTACCCTTTTCTTAACTGTTCAAATGACAATTTTTATCAAGTTGCTACAACATTAAGCCTTTAGTTTGTAAACTAAATTGTATAAAACCTACACAGACTTCAAGTAAAACATATCAATATAAAAAAGTATCGTCATTTACATTTTGAAAACATAAAAACCTCAAATTATCATATCAGCACCATCTATCGGCAGTCAAAATTAATAAAACCAAGCCTAACTTGATTACGCCACGACAGTGATGTTAACACGATGTCTTTATATATTAGACAGTCATCGTTGTTATCAAGAAAACTGCTACGTCATGCACCCTTGAATTAAACTAAATAATAAATTAACCGTTTGACCTGACAGCCATACAAAGTTGCGTGATACGAATAGATACGATTTTTACTATTATAATACAGTACATAAATATTGAGTAGCTCGATGGTGTAGTGGATAAGCGCCGTGGCCCGCGATCGTTGTGGTAAAGCAACCTTCGCAAGGGTCGGTCACGGGATGGGTGACCAAAAAAAAAATTTTTTTTTTTTCTCGTGCTACTCCTTGGTTTGGAAGGCACGTGAAGCCGTTGGTCCTGGCTGTATTTGTAGTCGTTAATACCCTCCGATCCGCATAGTGCCAGCGTGGATGATCATGGCCAATCCTCTTTAACCATCCATAAGGAAGGCCTGAGCCCCTGCAGCGGGGACGTAAAAGGGCTGATGATAAAAATACTAGACAACCTCACATACAATTGTCAAATTCCAATTGAGAAGCTAAAGCAATTGTGTTATGGAAATCTAAAAGGACAAATGTACAACAAGCCAGAGCCGAGACAACATAAAGAAAATCATTTTCTATATTTACCTGGCCGGGAATCGAAGGAGGGACCTCAGATATAGCGACACCTTGAAACCACCTGGCCACTCAACCACGAAGTAACTGTCTAGTTATTTTAAGCTTTCCCACGACATGCTTTACGTAAATTATAGCCTTTGTGGCCCCCTTATAATATACCCATAGGTGAAAGAATTTCAAAAATCGGTCCAGTAACTTCAAAGCCTATTCAATGCAAACAAACAAACTATAAAATCTTTCCTCATTATAATAAAGTTTTTAATATATTTAATGAAAACAATACATAATTATATCTCTGTTATATTTTACCGCTATTAAGTATTAATTTAAATTAATCAGTTTATAATAGAATTTTTATTTCAATTACTGTTTCTACTGTTCTAGTACTTACGTCATTGTTCAACGGCAAAGCTCTCAACATCACCCTGTTTTTTCTAATGATTATAGAACCCTCTCCCCTTCTAACCGCGCAAGGTCATTCGATTACAGATAATGTGATTGGTCCGCTCGACGTATGTCACATTTATATACGCAAATTGTTATCCAATTGATTGCAAACCAAAGAGTTTTTATATTTGAGTACATAATCCTACATTCAAATTCTGTTTAAGTTTACGTAATACTTGCATATCGATAGAATCTAACGCATTTTGCCATTGTCTTATCTACCTGAAGTCCAATATTATTATAGGTATATCTGTCATCATTGATATGTGAAGAAGACATTGCAGGACTTAAGGTAGATAGTATAATGGGAAAATTTAAGTTGTTGATAGTTGTAAATATTAACAGAAATGGCCTGCAGGCCTTTTGCCCGCCTCTTAAGAAATCTCCAAGAGTTACTCAAATAGTAAGAGAAAGAAGATAATGTTATCCTATATTTCTGAATATGCAAAGATAGACGAGCTCCGTAACCGAGTTGTTTAAGATGTAATCATACTTTAAATATAAATAAAGTTACTTTTATGCTTTATAAGGTAATAATAGCTAATATACTAATAAATATAAAATTTTTCAGCGATCCATTCATCAGCGAAATCTTTTCCGCCATAATTTCTTAAACGTTTTCAGAATTATTAAATTATAACACTGTATCAATTTTTAATATCCCTAATGGAAATTACTAGTTGTGACGAAAAAATCAATGGTGCATTAATGCGGAACATTCATTAATTATTAATGATTGAGTATTTATGAAATAAGCTTCTCGTTTTTTGCGAGAAACTTTAGGGAAAAAGGTTCCATGAGAAAGTAACACAAAGCGAAAAAAGATAACTTTTGCATTACGCTGATCTAGCCTTTTTGATCCCTTGCAGCGGATTATAACAGAACTTTTGTTTGTTGAAAGCGATCTATATATATGAATATATGACATAGAGTATGAGGGTTGAAGTAAATCTGGCAGTGACACCTTTTCTGACACTATATTTGTTTGTTGTTTGAGTTCTATAGTTCAATTACTATTTTAAAATGCATATTACTCACTTTTTTATTTTATTTTACTGTAGGGAACACCATAATCAACATTTTGGTTAGATGAGGTTATAACAGTAATCAATGAATTAATTAATTAATAATTATTTATTTAAACACAACTTAAGACATCACACAGATATGTTAAAAATAATAATAATAAAAAACTATGATTGATTTAATGTATACTTCAGTATTATGATCTAGATTTGTATGAAGACTCTTTTGACCATAAGGTATAAATATAGGAAGTCTTATGAAATACTTTGCCTTATTTAACTTAACCATTATGTATTATTATTATGACATTCCTATATTTAATTCCATTTTACATTATTGTGTTTCTATGACATCTTAAGTTTATTTACAAAATTGATTATTCTTATTACTAGCGTTACAATTTTTATTAATTAATTATGAACTATATGTTATTGATGATGGTTAGATGTTATTCATTGTTCGTGACCAATATTTCTTTCTTTTTTTTTATATCATAATATAACTTGTCTGTGCTTTGGAGATTCCCTATCAAACTAGCATGATAATGTATATACAAATAATGAATAATAAAAAAGACACCAAAAATGTTCTCGCGAATGCACCAAAATTGTGTCCAATTCAGAATAGTCATGTCAAGTTTTAAACTGACGTTGATTGTTAGATGACACCTTTAAATTCTTTTTGAAAGCTGGGGTGACCATGCCAAATCCACATGTAAATATATCAAGTTATATTTTAATATAAAAGATCCGATACAAATAAAATTATATATAACAAATTCGCCTCTACATTCATCGTACGAACTGCGAAGCTGTGGAATTCGCTACCGGACTCGCTGTTTCCGGACAAATACAATCTGGAACTGTTCAAGTCAAGAGTGAATCGGTTCCTTCTAGGCAAGCACGTTCCGTCTTAGACCACTGCATTGCTTACCATCAGGTGATCTGTGGTCGAGTGCTTGCCTATCTAGCAAAAAAAAACAATGATTAGTGAAAAACTATATAAACTAGGAAATACTATAAAATATTCTTAATGAAAAATGCTTAAAAAATGAATCTGAGTGTGTGCCAGGGACAAAGTGCATTTTATTTCAGTATAGCATTGTAAATGTAAAATTGATAAAATATAATAATACTACATAATGAAAATATATGATCAATAGCATTTTTCTGGAAACCCAGAACCGTTACCGTTATCCCAACTTCTGTATGCTAAAGCGAATCGAAAGATTTTGATAAATGAATATTTCCCGAGAAAAGTATTCTAGGTTATATTTATGATGCCTGTTTACGGGCTTTTTTGTTTGTTTTATATTTTAAAAAATATATAATTTTATATATATATATATATATTTTTATTTTAAACCATCAGCTGTACCGTATATGTGCTCTCTATATTTATTTTATCAATAACCCAATATATTGTGCTAGTTAACGTTCTTAAACGCCATTTCCACTAGCTCTGCTTCAACTACTTTTTTCGCACAAATATTTATTATTCATCTAAAAGAAAATTCAATTCAAATAAGCATAATAAAAAGACCGAAACAAACACAAATCACGAATCTAAATTACAAGAAGAAAAAAGGTGAAATTAAATTCAACCTTCCCTACGAAATTGTCCTCGCAAGCAGAGAATATCCGGTAACGAAAGGTACACTCATAAAATAGGTACACAAAATTTATGTGTGAAAAACAATAATTTTGCTGGAAGGATCCCGTGCCCCGATCCGTATCATATCTCGAGGAAGGTGTCCCAAACGGATCTGATGTTGAATTATTTATCGGAAGGACCGCAGAATTTTTTTCTTATTAAACTGAAACGAAACATTCGTATTTTTGTACGGAAATTTTTGATAGGATATCTGACTTTCTTTTTCAATACTTATTCTTATTCGTCTGCGGTGAATCAAAAGGAGTTATGATTTTGACCGGAACGTGATTATCACCAGTTTCCCTCCATTATTTCTAAACTATTTATCATAATTTAATAATTAGGGTATCATTAGAAGCGTCCTGATCGTCCACAGCTCTTCGATGAAGTTATGTGAGCCATTTTTATTCTTTGAGCAGCTTTATGAAAGTACTCCGTTCGATGCTATATCGATACTGCGTTCAACGCTGTATTTTTAGCAGATTAGCATTGCTGATCTTCATTCACTGGTCTATATAACAAAATTTGCAGGTTTTATTATCCTACCTTAGAATTTTTCACATAAATATTAAAGAACAAGCTTCTGTGAATACAATTTATATAGCGACGGATGTAAAGCTATCAGTGATGGACGTAGCAACCGTTTTTTTTCAATATTTAGTTGAGTATAAGGTCTAATTATGAAATTGTCGTTCTGCCGTACTGGCCATTTCAAATCAAAATATTTTTTCTCATAATTCTAACTTCAAATCATTTTATTTTAAAAACATTGAATTCTTTTTTCTGAAATCGTCATTTGTTTAACAATTAGTGTTTTGTTTTTAACGCATTCGAAAATGTTTCGTCATTATGGATACATTAAAAATTCGATTAATTAAGGAGTATGAGTACTGTCGTTGCAGCAAAGCGGCACAAGTGGCACGCAACATCAACGACGTTTACGGAGCGAACACTACAAACGAACGCACCACCCGGTATTGGTTTACTCACTTGCGTTCAGGAAATTTTGACCTGAAAAGTGAACCCCGTGTTCGACCGAAAACTTTGGTCAACAATGACGAAATAAATGAAAATCAATCTACGGCTGAATTAGCAGCAGCTTTCTACGTTAGCACCAAAACAATATTGGTCCATTTGCGCTAAATTGGCAAGGTAAAAAGCTTGATAAATGGGTACCCCACGAACTCAATGATCGTCAGAGCAAAGTATGTGTCGAGTCATGGCTGGTACTGCTCAACTGGCATACAAATAAAGTAATTTTGAACGGCATTGTTACTTGTGATGAGAAATGAATCCTGTTTGACAATCGTAAGCACTCAGTAAGTTGGTTGAACCCTGGTTCAGCACTCAAACAATGCCCTAAGCGAAAACTCACCTCTAGAAATATGATGGTTAATGTTTGGTGATCTAACGCGGGTGTAATTCATCACAGCTTCTTATCAAACGGGACAAGCATGATTATGCAGAAGCTCGCATGTCTCCAAACAGCTTTGGTCAATCGTTCGGCTGCACTGCCCCTGCACGATAACGCGCAATCTCAAATTGCATATTTAATAATAATATTTAACAATATTTAATAATAATTTTATACGTAATAGTACAGTAAATTTTGACAAAAAAAAATTATTATAATAAAAATAAATCTTTAAATACAGTTTTGCAAAATAGAATATTTCTATCACCAGTAACTGCAAATATGATAAGCAAAATTATACTGACATTGAAAAATTCAGTCTGATGGCTATAATTCCGTGTGCATCAAAGTCTTAAAGCTGTGTAGAAATGCACTATACAGTCTTTTAGCTTTTCTGATAAACTTGTCTACAAACAGGAAAATTTCGCGAAAAATTAAAACTGGCAATGTGAAACCGTTGTTTAAAAAGGATGACGAATATGACATATGCAATTATCGTCCAATAAAAATATTACCTGTCATATCTAAAATATTTGAAAAAGTTATGCATGAACAACTCACTAATTTCAAAATTTAAAATCATCAAGGACAGCCAATATGGTTTCCAAAAAAATAAATCGACAACTCATGCAGCTTTTGACTTAGTAAATGAAGTTATATTAAATGTAAACATGAAATACTATACAACAGTAATATTCCTCGAAATGTCTAATGCTTTTGACTGTGTTTTTTATAACGTACTATTAAAAAAACTGGAATGTTATGGATTAAGGGGTCCTGCATTAAACTGGTTAGGTTCCTACTTAACTAACAGAATGCAAGTCGTCGAGATACCACAGATTGACAAAAAAATACAATTCAGCTTTACAGATATAAACCAAAACATAATAAATTCCTCGAGGCAGTGTTCTAGGCCATTTGTTGTTTTTGCTGTACATAAATGATTTACCTGACATTACAAAATTTAATACGGTACTATTTGCTGATGACATTTCTATTATTGTTTCAACGAAAAGTACCTTAGACCAACACAAACTTGACATCACAAATACAATGACATCAATTATTAATTGGCTTCAGAATAACAATCTTAAGGTAAATTTAGCAAAAACTAATATAATTAATTTCAATGATTTGAAAAATCAATCAGTAGACGTATTTTTTAATGGATATACTCTAAAGTGCTTCAAATGTAAAATTTCTAGGCTTAATAGTTGATTATAAATTAAGTTGGAAAGAGCATATAGAGAAAGTGTATAATAAAATGAACTCCTTTTCCTTCGAGTTATATAAACTTAGAAAAGTAGCAAGTGTAAATACGGCTATCATGGCCTATTTCGCATATGTAGAGTTGTAATTAAAAAATGAAACTTTTAACTAATTTTCTAAGAATTCTGTTTGTTTAACATTATTATCGTTAAACTATGAATTTTATTCTAATATCTCGATTTGACTCATATGATTCGTCTTTGTTTTATAATTTGTCGAAAGTCTTCTGTAAGCTTTAGTCTTCGAACTTGCAATAACTTATTTTTTTTTTGTATTAATACTAAGCTAATATGTATGTATGGTGAAACATTTCTCTCAGCATATAATAATAAAGTCGATATATCTAATATGTAAAGCTAAATATTCTGTTGAATTATTTCATTTTGATCAAAGCTAAAATATGATAACCGATACATCCCATGCTAATCAAGTGAACAGTTGGTTGCTTGTTTTTTGGTGGAGCAAAAACCCTTTCATATTTCTTTGACGATATAGATATAAAATAAGTAGCTCGACATTTTTTACATACAAAAATTACTCGCCGCATTTATATGTATGTTTAAATTTCTCTCCAATCATATAATGCAATTCATGTTTTAGTCTATAATTCACATTCACAAATTTATTACCACAGAATGATAATGTTTGTAGAAAATGTTGGAAAAAAGCATACCGAATGAAAGTTCGTGTTAATCACACCCACGGGAAGTTGTAATTTCAAACTGGATGGAAGCATTAGCCAAATTTGTTTTGCATATTACAAATGGACAAGCCAGTGAGTTCTATTACTAGCAACAAACATATATTTCAATACATAATGCATTCGAATTATTACAATTCTTTGAGTTGGGTGAGCTTGATCGTTTATTTTCCCGAAGATCTAGTAAAGAGCCTCAAGGAACCCCCAACTGTTCCCGTAATAAAATTCGTTTATTACGAGAAAACTCACGTAAACCGTAATTTATTTCGACGCTCAACTTTCAATACTCAAGAACAATATATTAGCAGGTCCCAACGTGCCACGCCCACTGTAGGCGGTTACTTAATTGAACTTTTCATATTAATTGATTCAATTTGAAATCCCTTTAAAAATATGACCAAAATTACTCCTAACTTCCCACTTATTAGAGTCATAATGTTTGAGGCTGATCTAAAACAAAAACTATTTGCCGTCGCATTAGAAGACGAGAACTAAAGTTAGTAATTCATTGACAATGACTTATACCTGGTACTAAATTTATAATAAGACGACAAGACTTCAATAGGAAAGTTATCAACAATAGAGTAATCTGTTTAAGAGAAAAACTATGAAATTGAACCGAATATTTCAGAATATTCAAACTTAACCAAAATGTAAATCGAATTTCGGTTAAGTTTAAATATTCCAGCAACTTTTGCCCAGTAAAACTAAACACTAATTAAAAATGCAGATTTTATATTCTCCCAAAATAATAAACCTAATTTTCATATAAACTTTGGCGTATAATCGTTTACTTTAATCAAATCTTGTTTGTTGTTACAGGATGAGAGAATACGTAGAGGAAAATGAGAAAAATGATCCGCTCATACATGCCCCAGACAAGAAAAACAACCCTTGGGCTGAGAAAGGAAAATGCATCATCATGTAATCATAATGTTATAATGTATAAAAAATATCACCAAATTCTAAATCATACGAAACAGTTTAGACAGTTATGGATGAACTAACGCTTGTCTGGTAAACATCATAGAGGATTAACAGTTCTGGAGAATGAAGATAGCACCATCATAGAAGTGTCAAACGAGATATGTAGACACAAATAAACAGAAACTGCCAGACAATATGAAGAACATAGCGTTGTAGTACTGCCGATTCCGTTATACTTTAATATAGGAGTCAAAACTTCGGTTGGGTTTAGTCCGTTGCTTTATTTAGTTTCTTTGTTTCCAAACAAACAATTCTAGTCCTTGTAATTCTATAACATTGTAAAGGATTGTACATTTTGACTGTGCGCGACGCAAGAGAGTACTTATGAATGTTATGTTAAAAAAAGTTAAAATGGTTGTAAATACGTTAAATTTTGTATTTCTAGTAATAGAATGTTCGGACACGAATCTATCGGTAGAGATAAACGGGAAAGTAAATAAATAGTGAGCGCGATAAAATGTAATGAAGCAATGTAAATTTAAACAATTTTACAACCTGTCTACAGAGTTTATTTTGTTTTGTTTCTACTAAATAGAGTAGTACCATGAAAATTGTTATGAAGCTAATATTATTTTCTATTTTATTCCAAATAAATTGGTAAAACTTAAAAGAACCCATGCAGTTCCATACAAAGCAAAGCAACTTCCTCTTCCATTTTTGTATGGAGTTGATATGGATTCGTCCACGAATCCATCGTAATGAGCTAAATCAAATTCTGCTATTACGATCGGTTCGAATTATTATGGTTTCATTAATTCTTTAACAACGTGTAAGAGATCAGTTTTGCCATCAACATTTAGAAATTAAAAAGCGTATAATAAATGTGAAGATTCTTCGAGCTCAAGAATCTTTGTATTTAAACGAATATATAATTAAACTATAGGGTTAAATCGCAAATCACAACTTAACATCTATTTGCTTAGTCACGGAACGTGAGGATATTGTTGAGGGTTCATATATTGGCAATAAAGGGAGCTGGATGTAGGTAAAGAATGATGGTGTTAAATTAGTTCTCAGAGAATAAATATAAGGTAACTTGAACGATTAAGATATGAAGTAACATAATCTTGTTCAAAACCAAAGTTATTGTTAAGATTATTTAGGATAATTTTTTATAAACACAGGTACATTCCGCAGTGCCATTAACTAGTAAAGCTTCTATAAAATATCTCTTAGCGATCTTCTGTACAGCAGTTTTTAATATTTGTACTACTCTGCTTCGATACCCTCTTCGTCTCTATATATTATTTATGATGTAGCTGCCTCTTGAAGTACTTCTTCTAAATTCAATTTATGTTTCTTCCTCGACCGACACTAAACATTAAAAATAATTTAAAAAAACCTATCACATTTAAATCTAGCACTTGATTAGCTTAGTGTAATTCAAAATTAAATTGAAAAAAAAATACCTAAGTCATTCAAAGTTTACTTATTAAAGCAAACTATTGTAGTTTCCAAATAAACTTCTTCTAAATTATATCTAAGAATTCTGGGATTGGAATTCTCCAACTTTTCTTGATTGAATCGAATCGGTCTGTGAATTTCATTCAACTGGGAAAAGTTCAAGGAATCCAGACCTGAGTAGCGCTATTAATCTAACATTCCATTTAAAAGGATTGCCTTTAATCCTAATTTTGATTAAAATAGTAAATAAACTATTGCACTGTAGATAATTAGAGATTAAAATAAAAACTAACTTTAAACTTAAAAATTTCTAAATCTTAATATACCTTCCCCCCTTACCATATCTAGACATGAAGTATGGAGAATCATTCTGGCTGTGAATACTTCCACTTTATTTAGATGCTTCTATCATTGTCGTTAGTGTCGAGACATAGTTTTCTTTATATCGACGATATAATAATGCTAAAACCGACAATAAATTCAACATTTCAAATATTGCTAACATAAAAACACTTAGAGCTTTCGCTGTAGAATCATATGCATCACTTCTGAATCAAAGAGGAACTTATGTCAATTCCTTATACGTACTTTTATTAGTTAAATCTTCAATATATTTATAATAAACTACATCTTCATCTGATCTTTCCACTATATTATTAGTTCCATCGTCATTTTCTTAACCACGATAAGTTTAACATTATATACTATCCTTTATTAGCGATAAATAGTTTTAAAACTAGAAATTTAGCAATTAATCGGTAGTATAATTTATAAATAAGGAACAAGAATCAAAGTTGTTTGTTAATCTGTATGATAAAATTTGCAATTCAGAGAATTAACCTTAGATAATATAAAAAATGAAATGTAATTGCTTATTTATAAAACGGTAGTTGGTTAAATTTAGAAACGTGGCGTTTGTTGAGATGGCAAACCTGTTCTCATTGTTCATAATATTTTATTTATTTAGTATAACAATTTTCATGGTAGCACTTGACAAATGTATTTATTTTATTACCATTTAGTTTATATTTATTCCGTTTTTATGCTAAGTTCTTTAACCAAAGATTAACCTTCGAAACCAATTATTGTATTCATGAAATTATTTCAAAATGGCGGTCAAATAAAATAGAGTTTTTGACGTAATAAAAATCTTAGCGTTTAGTGTGGAGAACTCCGTTTTATCTGACCATCTTGTTTTACATTAATATATAAGGTTTAAACATAAACGGTAATTTTTAATGGATTAATCCAAAATTTAATAAGTAGCTAAGGGTGATGATATTGGAAAAGATTTTTTAGAATCAATTAGGTTTAAGATATCGTATGTTATTATAATTATGTATTCAGTAATCACTGAAATAAATGAAAATCTGTAATTATGCCTGGTTTTATTAACCTGTTTTTTTTTTCGAATGTACAGTCAACAACACGCCAAAGTCCTTTCAGTCAAATTTCTCCTATCGATTTTATATTGATAAAATTAGTGCTTTTGGAATAATCTGATATGTTGTAGGTTGTAGCTTAAAGATCAAATCAAATTAAATTATTTCAGGTTTTAATCGAGAGATTTTAAAGTTCAGAGTTATTTCTATCAATTTTTTTTATAGAAATAACGGATTTTGATCCATATCCAATTATTTATATGTGCAAGCCTGAGTTGTGAGGAATGCCAGGACCACCAAGATTTATTTTAGCTACAATATCCACTTTTGCAAACACCAGTCACCGATGATAATGTAAAGATATATAACATTCTATAGTATATAACATTCTATGAATGCTAAACGAGATATTATTATTGAAGAAGTAGAGAAAATCGACCAAATACCATGTACATATGTTAATTCCCTGAAGTCAGCAAAAAATATTCTTAATGTAGAAGAAAATAATTCTATCTATATCTTATCACTAAACATCAGAAGTATAAACTGCAATCTAGATAGGTTCCTGTTATTCTTAACCGAATTAGATATTCCAATAGATGTTATAGTGCTGAAGTGTGTATACTTACTTATTACATAATATCTTCAATTCTACATATATACTTCTCTCTATGTTACTTTGTAAAATCATTTGATTAGTATTAAACCTACATCTATTCTGAACGGTTGTTTGATTTCCCTTCATGGCGACCCTGCCATATACGGCGACCGCGGCTAGTGTTACCGAGCGCGTTGTACCATTGTAATAAATTAAAATGAATCGTTATTCTAATTCTGAGTTTCTAAGTGCAACAGCGTCTAATTCTGTCAAGAATGGGTAAATCACAGTCGAAACAAGAAGAAATTATTATAGCGCAAAATGCTTCTGGTGGAAGTAACTCTGCATCAGCGACGGAAGATTTAAAATACCACGTTAGCACTACCAATATCTTATTGATTGTGATAGTTACGTTTATCGCCTTGGGAGGCCTGATATGTTTTTATAAATATTACAAGAAGACTCAGAAAAAATGGATGCGACGAGAAATAACTATGAACGACCTGCGTAGATCACTTCGTTTGCGACCGATAGCAGCTCTTGGGAGAGATCAGCGGGAGCTGAATCAAGCGTCGAAAATTGAGCAAGTTTAAAGGTGTTCGTGTGAATAATACCAAGTTATTTGAGTGATTTTTATTTTTCAGTGAAATTTTGCAAAAGTAAAAGTTAAATTTCCCGATTCGTGATTACGTAAAATATTATTGTAGAGACAGTAAGAATATATTTAGTTAACTAGTATTCCATTTATTATGATTTAATCAATTTGTGTATCTCTAATTAATCTAATTATAGCTAACGATCGTGTGTGACGCATATGTAAAGTAAACGCATTCCAATGCACAATAATTAATACGATCATCCTGTGGCCCCTACTATGGTAATTCGTGAGAGATGGTGAGTTGCATTGATTTATTTTTTTACTTCTTAATATAAATAGGAATGGAAAATGAGTTGTTACAGTGTTTAACAGAATTAAATGTAATAAAGAAATATTTAGTAAAAAGAGGTAAAGCTAGATTTTTAGGAAAAACTATAGAAAATAAGTTATTAGAAACGGAAACAATTCATAAAAGAGGTTCTTCGATTATTACGTTATTAACTAAGGAAAAGAATATTAAGCCAGAGGTTTTGGAGTCCTATTTTTCTATTTGGAATGATATAAAAGATATTTATAGTAAAATATTATTATTGTGTAAGAAGTCTACAGAATCGAGCAGTGATAGCGATAGCGAATATAGTGAGCCGACTGAATATTCAGATTTAAAAATGGAGTTTGATCTGAAAATTGCTTGTAATTTAATACCGGTTATGGATGGTGATGAAAAAACGGTAAAAACGTTAATAGATGCAGTGGAAATGTACTCCGAAATGTTGTCTGATGCTGGAAATAAATTATTAATTAAATTTGTCTTAAAAAGTCGATTGTCAGAAAATGCGAAATTGTGTTTGTCTACGGAATACAAGTCAGTAACAGAACTTATCAAAGATATAAGACAAACTTTGCTTACTAAAAAATCATTTACAGCAATACAATCACGCCTACAAAACGCAACCCAAGGTTGGCGCACAGTAGCTCAGTATGGAGTTGAGATTGAAAAATTATTTTCGGATTTGACTATATCACAGGCAGATGGGGATAACGAGAAATATGCTGTTTTAAAACCGTTAAATGAAAAGTTGGCTGTAAAACGCTTTTCAGATGGTCTTCGTGATTCCCGGCTGAGTACCATTATTGCAGCGCGTAACTACGAGCATCTAAAGGATGCTATCCAAGCGGCGAAAGATGAGGAGCGGTATGGAGCATCAACTGTAACAGCGGGAGATGAAAAGGTTATGCAATTTTCACGCCGAGGAAGAGGTAAGTTTCCTAATAAGTTTTATGGGCAGACTAGCAGTCGGGGCCGAGGTCATCAGTACTATCAGCGCCAGTATGTAAACAATGGCTCAAGATACGTGAATAATGGTAATTATCATAACCAGGGTAATAGATTGCCTAAAGTTCACTATGTAAATCGTGAAATAAACAGAAGTGATAACCGTTCGAGTTATCCGAACACTCGTGGTAGTGGTAAATTTACACAACGAGTATTTTACTCGCAACCATCTAACCAAGTCGAAGATTCAAACTTAGAACAAAAGGAACAAAATCAGTTTTTTCGATCTTAAGAATTTTGTGCTAACATTGAATGGTCAAATTAAATTTGTTTCTTTTTACGTAGGGAATAAGAAGTATTATTGGTTAGTCGATACGGGAGCATCTTTGTCGGTAATCAAAAGAGACGCCTTACCAAGAAACATCGCCATACATAGAGACGACACTGTCATCAACGGCATAGGTGGTCAGATTCAATCATCGGGCTATGTTTACATAAATTTGACACATCGTGACCAATTCTGTTCAACTGAGTTTAATATTAAATGTTGTGTTTTTAATCAGGTGCCCTTAAAAGCAGATGGTATTCTAGGTTTAGATTTTCTGTGCAACTATGCATCCAATATCAACCTCCACACGAATATGATTACACTTTACAAAGAAGGAATGGAATTTTTGTTACCACTTTGTAATCAAATCAATTACTCTTGTGATAATTTAGTTATTCCGGCTAGAAGTGAATCAATTCATTATTTATTTACTGATTTAGAATTAAACGATGATAGAGTTATCTTTTCGGAGCAATTGGCAGAAAATATTTTTTTGGCAGGATCTATAGTGCGAGTACAAAATAATAGAATCCCAGTGAAAATTTTAAATACGAGTGAACATGACGTAATGTTGCCCAATTTTCAACCACAGTTGTATTCATTACAAGAATACGATATTTGCGAATTTAATCAATGTACAAAAAATTCAGAAAGAGCTAATAAATTATTAGGTACTTTAAATTTAAATAATCTCAACACGGAGGAAAAAAGCTCTATTCAACAGATATGTTCGAAATACGCAGATGTTTTTTTCTTGCCAGGTGATAAATTAACAACTACGAATATTTATGAACAGTCTATTACAATAAAACCAAATACTAGTCCTGTATATGTTAAGCAATATAGATTACCACAATCCTTAAAAGGTGAAGTAAATAAACAGATTGAAAAATTAATCAAAAATGACATAATAGAAGAAGCAAAGAGTGAGTGGTCTAGTCCAATCTTATTAATACCTAAGAAAAACTCAAATCCAGAGAATAAATGGCGATTGGTAGTTGATTATAGGAAATTAAATGATAGCATTGTTGACGACAAGTTTCCATTGCCAAATATAAACGAAATTTTAGACTCACTCTCTGGTTCTATCTACTTCTCACATTTAGATCTCTATCAAGGTTACTTTCAAGTACTTCTAGAAGAGAAGAGTAGAGAGTGTACTGCCTTCTCTACGAACGCAGGACAATATCAGATGAAAAGATTACCAATGGGACTTAAGACCAGCCCTAGTGCTTTCAGTCGTGTAATGTCTGTAGCTATGTCTGGACTCAATTTTGAACAGTGCTTTATTTATTTAGATGATTTAATAGTTTTTGGACGATCGTTAAATATCCATAATGAACATTTAATTAACGTTTTAGAAAGACTTAGAAAAGTAAACTTAAAACTAAACCCAGAAAAGTGTAATTTCCTACAAAAAGAAATACTTTATTTAGGTCATCTAGTAACTGCGGATGGTGTACTACCTGATAATTCAAAAATAGAGGTTTTACAAAAATATCCAGAACCAAAAAATACAGATGAGGTGAAAAGATTTGTAGCTTTTTGTAACTATTATAGAAAATTCATTAACAATTTTGCCGAAATTACAGCACCATTAAATAGATTGACTAGAAAAAATGTACCGTTCATATGGACAAACGATTGTAAGGTCTCATTCGAAAAATTAAAATCAGCATTATCTACGCCTCCAGTGCTGCAATTCCCAGATTTTTCTGATAACAATGAATTTATTATACAAACTGACGCCTCAGGAATAGCTGTAGGAGCCGTTTTGTGTAATAAGAATATGAAACCAGTTGCATATGCTAGTCGACCTCTAAATAAAGCCGAAAGAAATTATCCCACGATACAAAAAGAATTAGTGGCAATAGTTTGGGCTGTAAAATATTTTAGACCGTATATTTATGGAAGGTTATTTTCAATATTGACTGACCATAAACCGTTAGTTTATCTATTTTCACTAAAAGACCCTTCAAGCAGATTATTAAAATTTAGATTAGCACTTGAAGAATATAATTTTAAAATTTTATATGTAAAAGGTAAAGATAATAGCGTAGCTGACGCTTTGTCTAGAATTTGTATAACATCAGATACATTAAAAACTATGAATGAGGAGATAATAACGGTAATGACAAGAGCACAAAGAAAATGTTTGAATGGAAAAACAGACTCACACATTTTTAGTAAAT